GTAAGTGAATTGAGACAATATGGGGAATTAATTACTATAGGGGGGATGAATTACTATGGGGGATGAATTACTATGGAGGATGAATTACTATGGGGGGATGAATTACTATGGGGGATGAATTACAATATGGGGAATTAATTACTATAGGGGGGATGAATTACTATGGGGGATGAATTATTATATGGAGGATTAATTACTATGGGGGATGAATTACTATATGGAGGATTAATTACTATGGGGGATGAATTACTATATGGGGGATTAATTACTATATGGGGGATGAATTACTATATGGGGGATGAATTTACTATAGGGGGATGAATTACTATAGGGGGATGAATTACTATATGGGGATGAATTACTATATGGGGATGAATTACTATATGGGGGATGAATTACTATGGAGGATGAATTACTATATGGGGGATGAATTACTATGGAGGATGAATTACTATGGGGGATGGAATTACTATAGGGGGGATGAATTACTATATGGGGGATGAATTACTATGGGGGATGAATTACTATATGGGGGATGAAGCTAACTGCACGATCCTGTATATAGCAATAAGGTAAGAAACAATATATGCAGTGTCGGATTTGTTTTAAATGTTTGCAATGGTTTTGCGGCTCCCAGTCTTTTTTTTCCCTTCGGAAACGGGTCCAAGTGGCTCTTTATGTCTTAAAAGTTGCAGACCCCTGACCTGGAGGGACCCAATACTCACCAAAAACAGGGAGGGCGGGAGGGAAGCGTCACACACTCCTGACTTCCAGCTCAACTGACGCCCCCTCACTGAAACCCCCACACCCTAAGGTGCAGGAAACCCCACCTACTCTCAACCTTCCACCAACCAAGGATCTGCCTTAACCCTTTCTGTTCCTCCTTCCCCACTCTGGGCCTAGTCATGTAGTATGCCCTGCGCCATTTCTTCTTTCTTTTTTGCTACGGGCATTTTCTCTACAGGAGTATCAGCAGTTGGTAGGGGGTCCTTCTTGCAGAGAACCTTATTTCTGAATGTGCGTAGTGACAGGGTCTCTTTAACCTCAGTTCTTTCTAATCCCAAATTCTGATCCTATTGCAGGTCCACTTAAGTGCTGTGCACCTACAATCCACCCTTTAGCCAGTTGACTTCTGGAAGGTTTTACCCCCTTCATGACCAGGGCAATTATTGCTGTTCAGCACTGCGCTACTTTAAGTGTCAATTGCTTGGTCATGCAACAAATTTATATAATTTTTTTTTTCACACAAATAGAGCTTTCTTTTGGTGGTATTTGATCACCACAGTTTGTTTTATTTTTTTATTATAAAAACAAAAAAAGACCAAAACTGTTGGAAAAAAAAACAGGATCTTCTACTTATAAAGTATATTTAAAAAAAAAACTTCATTAATTTAGGCCAAAATGTATTCTGCTACATGTCTTTGTTAAAAGGAAAATCCCAATAAGTGAATAATAATTGGTTTATGTGAAAGTTATAGTGTCTACAAACTATGACATATATACTGGAATTAAAGCAGCTATGACAATATACTATAAATAAATAGTGCCGCGCTCCTGTTAACTCATATATATATCTCTTACCCCTAAAGGTGCATGAAATTTTATCTATAACAGTACATAAATCTCTGTGACAAATAAATACAGTTATTAAATATAAAAAATAATAAATTAAAGGTGAATCACTATGACTAGTGAATCAAGCAAATTATATAAATATAAATAAATCAAGAACCTTCATACATGTGACTGATAACAATCAATCCTAAATTAGTTGTGACTGTGAAAAATTAACAATTAAATACAAATTCATATAATCTAAATAAGTGCCCCTCTGATCTACTGTGATCACTCCATTTAACCTCCCTGGCGGTATTCCCGAGTGTAGCTCGGGGTAACATTTCAGTACCAAAAGCGGTAACCCGAGCTAACACTCGGGAATACCATGCGGCGCTGCTCCGGCATGTGTTCTTCACTTACCTTACCCTGCGCTCCCACGATGTGTGTCCCCTGCAGTGTGCCCGGCCATCTCCTCCCCGGCCGATGCCGGCATCCGGCTTCTGTGTCCTGTCCCTGTGACGTCGGGACGTACGGGCGCCGCCGCCGCCGGCGGCGGGAAATTTAAAAATTTTAAAAAATGTCATTTTTTTTTTTTTTCATTTTACACAGTAAAACATTGCTGTTTCAACCTATTTCACATACATTTTGTCCTAGTGCTTTGTCCGGCGCCCTGCCTGCATTTTGTCTGTTCTTTCTGCCTGGAAACTGAAATGTCCATGGCGTCCAAAAAGCGTCCTTTAGGTCAGACGCGGTTTAGATCAGCTAGAGAACAGCGATAGTAAATCAGAAACCACTTGCAGAATTGAGTGATAATGATTCGTGGGGGAAATTCGTCATCAGAAACTGAAAACGATTTTGCGACTGAGCTCAGCAATGTGTGAACTTGGCGCTATATTTCACATTTCAGTGTTTTTGGTTTGATTATATTATTGAATTACATTTTTTATTATTTTTATGATTATTTATTAAATTATAATTTATGATTTTGTGTTTCAAAAATTTTATCCTCCCCGGGATGTTTACTAGACTCTTGTTCGGACAGATTTCAGTGAGTTTTTCCTAAAAATTACAGCCTACAATAAAAAAAATACATATTTCCATGCAAAATAATGGTACCGCTTTCAGCACCAAAAATCTGAAATAATCATACCGCCAGGGAGGTTAAATTGTGCAAAAACATATACAAGTGTGCACGTGCATAAAATAATAATACTATCAAAAGTCTTTCAAAATAAAGTGCAGTGTGCAGGTGGATTCCTGAATCCCTCTCGCCGAGTGCTTAGTGGTCTCCCTATGCGCTCACCTTAATATTTGCCTGAATGAATCCAGGCAAATACGCTTTTAATCCTTCCAGGATTGATGGGATGGGATGATACTCTTATACAAGCTGTTCCAGAAGGTAGGTGTGGATCTATAGGGGTTCTCCTGTTCTCTCCTTTATCCCCTTGTGCAGCTGCTCATGAATAGATATCCTGACCAGCTCTCTAGGGATCTCCTAATTCCCCTCCTGGGGTTATCACCTTCTCCAATCCTCCTTATACCAGCTTGAGGAGTGTTGGTCAATTGAAAAATAGAAGAAAACAGACCATGGTGCCTTATCTTTGTGCATAAAAGGAGATTTATTGCTGCCAATTGCGGTGTTGCCCAATGGTATACAGCTCTATTGTAATCCAGGTCAGCATAGATGACAATCTATAGAGATACTCTGCCTCTGCCCCTGCAGTGCTGTCTGCCTCCGTCTGTACTGGAATCACCGAGCCTTTCCGATGCAACGGTGTGACGTCAGAGCCCCTCCCCTACGCGTTGCGTCACAGGGTCATGTGACTTCATCAGGGGGAAATGATTGGATGCCACGACTATGCTTATCCACCTATTTATATCTCTCGGCCGCCATTTTACTGAAGCCCACATGGGCGCGGCCATTTTCCCAGTGATTTCCTTTATCTGTATTGTCCCGCGCCCATGTGGGCTTCAGTAAAATGGCGGCCGAGAGATATAAATAGGTGGATAAGCATAGTCGTGGCATCCAATCATTTCCCCCTGATGAAGTCACATGACCCTGTGACGCAACGCGTAGGGGAGGGGCTCTGACGTCACGACGTTGCATCGGAAAGGCTCGGTGATTCCAGTACAGACGGAGGCAGACAGCACTGCAGGGGCAGAGGCAGAGTATCTCTATAGATTGTCATCTATGCTGACCTGGATTACAATAGAGCTGTATACCATTGGGCAACACCGCAATTGGCAGCAATAAATCTCCTTTTATGCACAAAGATAAGGCACCATGGTCTGTTTTCTTCTTTTTTTCAATTGACCAACACTCCTCAAGCTGGTATAAGGAGGATTGGAGAAGGTGATAACCCCAGGAGGGGAATTAGGAGATCCCTAGAGAGCTGGTCAGGATATCTATTCATGAGCAGCTGCACAAGGGGATAAAGGAGAGAACAGGAGAACCCTATAGATCCACACCTACCTTCTGGAACAGCTTGTATAAGAGTATCATCCCATCCCATCAATCCTGGAAGGATTAAAAGCGTATTTGCCTGGATTCATTCAGGCAAATATTAAGGTGAGCGCATAGGGAGACCACTAAGCACTCGGCGAGAGGGAATAAGGAATCCACCTGCACACTGCACTTTATTTTGAAAGACTTTTGATAGTATTATTATTTTATGCACGTGCACACTTGTATATGTTTTTGCACAATTTAAATGGAGTGATCACAGTAGATCAGAGGGGCACTTATTTAGATTATATGAATTTGTATTTAATTGTTAATTTTCACAGTCACAACTAATTTAGGATTGATTGTTATCAGTCACATGTATGAAGGTTCTTGATTTATTTATATTTATATAATTTGCTTGATTCACTAGTCATAGTGATTCACCTTTAATTTATTATTTTTTATTTAATAACTGTATTTATTTGTCACAGAGATTTATGTACTGTTATAGATAAAATTTCATGCACCTTTAGGGGTAAGAGATATATATATGAGTTAACAGGAGCGCGGCACTATTTATTTATAACATTGCGTATACACTAGCAAGTGAGTCGGTGTAAGTGTCAGCGCACCAAAACATCATCATATAAGAGGATAACTATATATTACCACTGATGTAACCTAGCTAGATAGCTGTTTGTTGTTTTCATAATAGCTCATCAAGTATTCACCATACCCCATACCAGTGTCCTGATGACACTATATGATGTCTGATCGCCCATACCCAATACCAGTGTAGCTACCCCATACCAGCGCCTGTCACCGCCATACCCCATGCATCCTGATCACCGCCATACCCCAAACCAGCGTCCTGATCACCCCCATACCCTCATACCAGTCTGATCACCACCATAACCCCTCCAGTGTAGCTGATCAGCTGTTTGTTGTTTGTCTTTTTACCCCAGAGGGCACCAGCAGCCTGCCTGATGAGTCAGACCACCTCCATACCCCATACCAACGTGTCCTGATCACCGCCATACCCCATACCAGCGTCCTGATCACCACCATACCCCATACCTGTGTCCTGATCACCGCCATACCCAATACCAGTGTCCTGATCACCCCATACCCAAATCAGTGTCCTGATCACCGCCATACCCAATACCAGTGTCCTGATCACCACCATACCCCATACCAGTGTCCTGATCACCGCCATACCCAATACCAGCGTCCTGATCACCGCCATACCCCATACCACTGTCCTGATCACTGTCATACCCCATACCAGCGTCCTGATCACTGTCATACCCCATACCAGCGTCCTGATCACTGCCATACCCCATACCTGTGTCCTGATCACCACCATACCCCATGCCTGTGTCCCGATCATCGCTATACCCATAACCAGTGTCCTGATCACCGCCATACCCCATACCAGAGTCCTGATCACCGCCATACCCCATACCAGTGTCCTGATCACCCCATACCCAATACCAGTGTACTGATCACCCCATACCCAATACCAGTGTACTGATCACCCCCATACCCCATATCAGTGTCCTGATCACCCCATACCCCATATTAGTGTCCTGATCACTCTATACCCCATACTAGTGTCCTGATCAGGGAGAAGAAACAGCTAGGTTTCTGTTCCTATACCAGCGTGCTGATCACCGCCATACCCCATGTCAGCGTTGTGATCACCTCATACCCCATACCAGCATCTTGAACACCGCTATATGCCATACCAGCATCCTGATCACCCCATACCAGCATCCTGATCACCCCATACCAGAATCCTGATCACCGCCTTACCCCATACCAGCATCCCAATCACAGCCATACCAGCATCCTGATTACTGCCATACCTCATGCTAATGTCCTGATCACCACCATATCTAATGCTAATGTCCTGATCACCACCATACCAGCGTCCTGATCACACTATACCCCATGCCAGCATTCTGATCACCGCCATACCTCATACCAGCATTCCAATAACCGCCATACCAGCATCCTGATCACCGCCATACCTCATTCTAATGTCCTGATCACCACCATATCTAATGCTAATGTCCTGATCACTGCCATACCAGTGTCCGATCATGCCCACCATACCCCATACCAGCTCCTTGATCACCACCATACCCCGTACCATCTCCCTGATCACCACCCATCACCCCATGCCATCTCCTTGATCACCACCATACCCCATACCATCTTCCTGATCACTGCCATACCCCATACCAGCTCCTTGATCACAGCCATACCCCATACCAACGTTTTGATCACCGCCATACCCCATACCAACGTTTTGATCACCTAGGGTTGCCACCCCATCCCTTTAAAACCAGGCACATATTAATTATAGAGGTTCTGAGGCTAATTTAATGCTTTAATGCTTAATGTATCCTTTGCTTGTTTTCAGTTTTTATTTATTCCTTGTTCTTTCATTCTTGCCTGAGATATATGAGAAGTCCTTGGCTGTGTTCATGTAAAATTAGTTATTAATTGTTTGACGGTTTTCACCTCACATGGGATCATGTAAGTGTATAACCATATCGCAAATTATTACATTGTTTATACCAATAAAATCTTGCGATGTATATTGATATGTGTGTGTTTGTTGTAGGCGTCATGTCTTCTTGAGCACTTCTGAGGAAGAGATTTCTGTTGATCTTGAAACGCATCAAGTGCGATTTATGCATGACCCATGTCGAGATTCGCAATACCATCGCTGATGACACCCGCCACAATCTGTATTGTAGCTTGATGTTTGATTTTTAGATTGTAAAAATAAAACTGCGTATTGTTTTAAAAAAATCTTTCTTGAACTGTTTTAATTTATTATATAAGAGAATTGTGCCGTTAAAGTCCCATCCAAAAGAGGACTCCCCCCTTTGCAGGGCTGCCACCCCATCCCTTTAAAACTGAGCACATATTAATTATAGAGGTTCTGAGACTAATTTAATGCAGATAAAGCACTAAGTGAGTTTAATTAACGCCTTAATCAGCCACAGAACCTGTGTAATTAATGTGTTCAGTTTTAAAGGGATTTAGTGGCAACCCTATGACCGTGCCAGTATCCTGAGCACCACCATACCCCATACCAGGATCCTGATCACCCCCATATGCCATACCAATGTCCTGATCACTGCCATACCCCATACCAGTGTCCTGATCACCGCCATACCCCATACCAGAGTCCTGATCACCGCCATACCCCATACCAGAGTCCTGATCACCGCCATACCCCATACCAGAGTCCTGATCACCGCCATACCCCATACCAGTGTCCTGATCACCGCCATACCCCATACCAGAGTCCTGATCACCGCCCATACCCCATACCAGTGTCCTAAGCTCCCCATACCAGCATCATAATCATCGCCATACCCCATACCAGCATTCTGATCAACACATACCCCATACCAGCATCCCGATCACCACCATACCAGCGTTCCAATCACCACCATTCCAGCGTCCCGATCACCACCATACCAGCGTCCCGATCACCACCATACCAGAGTCCCGATCACCACCATTCCAGAGTCCCGATCACCACCATTCCAGCGTCCCGATCACCACCATTCCAGCGTCCCGATCACCACCATACCAGCGTCCCGATCACCACCATACCAGCGTCCCGATCACCACCATACCAGCATCCCGATCACCACCATTCCAGCGTCCCGATCACCACCATACCAGTGTCCCGATCACCACCATACCAGCGTCCCGATCACCACCATTCCAGCGTCCCGATCACCCGATCACCACCATTCCAGCGTCCCGATCACCACCATACCAGCATCCCGATCACCACCATACCAGCGTCCCGATCACCACCATAGCGTCCCCAGCGTCCCCGATCACCACCATTCCAGCGTCCCGATCACCACCACCATTTCAGCGTCCCGATCACCACCATACAAGCGCCCCGATCATCCCACCATACCAGCGTCCCGATCACCACCATTCCAGCGTCCCGATCACCACCATACCAGCGTCCCGATCACCACCATTCCAGCATACCAGCATTCTGATCAACACATACCCCATACCAGCATCCCAATCACCACCATACCAGCGTCCCGATCACCACCATTCCAGCATCCCGATCACCACCATACCAGAGTCCCGATCACCACCATACCAGCATCCCGATCACCACCATTCCAGCGTCCCAATCACCACCATTCCAGCGTCCCGATCACCACCATACCAGCGTCCCGATCACCACCATTCCAGCGTCCCGATCACCACCATACCAGCGTCCCGATCACCACCATTCCAGCGTCCCGATCACCACCATACAAGCGCCCCGATCACCACCATACCAGCGTCCCGATCACCACCATACCAGCGTCCCGATCACCACCATTCCAGCATACCAGCATTCTGATCAACCACGAGTCATATCCCCATACCAGCATCCAATCACCACCATACCAGCGTCCCGATCACCACCATTCCAGCATCCCGATCACCACCATACCAGAGTCCCGATCACCACCATACCAGCATCCCGATCACCACCATTCCAGCGTCCCAATCACCACCATTCCAGCGTCCCGATCACCACCATACTAGCGTCCCGATCACCACTATTCCAGCATCCCGATCACCACCATACCAGAGTCCCGATCGCCACCATTCCAGCATCCCGATCACCACCATACCAGCATCCCGATCACCACCATTCCAGCGTCCCGATCACCACCATACCAGCGTCCCGATCACCACCATACCAGCGTCCCGATCACCACCATTCCAGCATCCCGATCACCACCATACCAGAGTCCCGATCACCACCATTCCAGCATCCCGATCACCACCATACCAGCGTCCTGATCACCACCATTCCAGCGTCCCGATCACCACCATTCCAGCATCCCGATCACCACCATACCCAGCGTCCCGATCACCACCATAAACCATACCAGCGTCCCGATCACCACCATTCCAGCATCCCGATCACCACCATACCAGCGTCCCGATCACCACCATTCCAGCGTCCCGATCACCACCATACCAGCGTCCCGATCACCACCATACCAGCATCCCGATCACCACCATTCCAGCGTCCCGATCACCACCATACCAGCATCCCGATCACCACCATTCCAGCGTCCCGATCACCACCATTCCAGCGTCCCGATCACCACCACCACCATACCACCGTCCCGATCACCACCACCACCATACCATTACCAGAGTCCCGATCACCACCATACCAGCGTCCCGATCACCACCATACCAGCGTCCCGATCACCACCATACCAGCGTCCCGATCACCACCATACCAGCGTCTTTATCACCTTTACCCCATACCACATCCATCACCATACCATGCCCTGATCACTGCCATACCAGCATCCCAATCACCACCATACCAGCATCCTGATCACTGCCATACCAGCGTCCCAATCACCACCATTCCAGCATCCTGATCACCACCATACCAGCGTCTTTATCACCTCATACCCCATACCAGCATCCTGATCACCACCATACCAGCGTCTTATCATCACCCCATACCAGCATCCTATCCCCACCATACCAGCATTCTGATCACCACCATACCAGCCAGCGTCATACCAGCATTCTGATCACCACCATACCAGCGTCCCAATCACCACCAGCGTACCACCATACCCTGATCTGATCACCATACCAGCGTTCCGATCACTGCCATACCTCATGCTAATGCCCTGATCACCTCCATACCAGCGTCCTGATCACTGACATACGTCATTCCAGCTTCTAGGATTTTGGAGTCTCAACTGATCAATTTTCAAATACATATCCCATAGTTTTGTAAATAAAAGTACAAATTATAGTTAATAATAAATAATAAAAATCCCATAGTTTGTAGACTCTATAGCTTTCACACAGCCTAAATAATATACATGGATTTGGGTTATTTTTACCCAAAAAATGTAGCAGAATACATTTTGGCCTAAATGTATGAAGAAAAAATATTTGATTGTAAGCTCCCAGGATCAGGGCCCTCCTATCCCTCTTGTATTGAACTGTATTGTTGCTGTATTGTCTCCCGTTATATTGTAAAGCGCTGAGCAAACTGTTGGCGCCATGAATCCTGTATAATAATAATAACAATAAATAATATTTTCAAAATTAAACAAAAGCTAAGCAAAAATTATTTTTTCAAAAGTTTCTGTATTTTTTCATTTACATAGCAAAAAATAAACCCGATGGTGAACAAATACCACCAAAAGAAAGTTCTGTCTGTCTCTAAAAAAATGATAAAAATGTTATAGGGGTACAGTGTTGCTCAACCGCGCAATTGTCTGTCATGAGATGCCCCTGGTACCTTTTTCATAGGCTTTTTTGAGTTTGGGCAAGGACACAGGGGCCCCATGATCCCCTATTGCCCGGGGGCCCCATGAGTTGTCAGTCCGCCCCTGGTCTGGACTTGAAGTTAAAGGAAGTCAAAGACCGGTTTCGGCAGATTGCTGGTGGAAAGGCCCTGGGCAGATCCCCTCTCCAGCATTCATTTCTGCAGACAATTATCGACTATTATTGATCAATCCCTAAACTAGTATCATTTAAATTTGGAGAGAGGGGAAAAAAATCGTCCTTTTCTTTTTTAATAATGTTGGGGTTGTTATGTATCTGCCTTTGATACAAACAACACATAACTGAGTTTTTTAACAGGAAAAAAAAAGTTTTAAAATGTTACATTAATTATGCATACACTTCGAGCAAACTTCATAATCTTAATCTGTTTTTTTGCCGTTGAATAATTTAAAATGTAATATGGCAATTCAGAACAGAAAAAGGCAGAATTATTATCAAACAAATGAGAAATTTGGGTCATGTTCAAAGAGAGGCAGCGTTTTCGTAACTGTTGTGGTGTCACTCCGGACATTGATGCAAGAAGGATGTGTGCAAGGAGGTCTTTCATGGAAGAATGACAGGCAGCACAGTGGCTGAATGGTTAGCATATCCGCCTGGCAGTACTCGGGTCGTTGGTTCGAATCCCAGCCACAGCACCACCTGCCTGGAGTTTGCATGTTCTCCCTGTGCCTGCGTGGGTTTCCTCTGGGTACTCCGGTTTCCTCCCACTCCCAAAGACATGCTGGTAGGTTAATTGGCTCCTGTCTAAATTGTCCCTAGTATGTGTATGTATGAATGTGAGTTAGGGACCTTAGATTGTACACCCCTTGAGGGTTAGGGACCTTAGATTGTACACCCCTTGAGGGTGAGGGACCTTAGATTGTACACCCCTTGAGGGTGAGGGACCTTAGATTGTACTCCCCTTGAGGGTTAGGGACCTTAGATTGTACGCCCCTTGAGGGTGAGGGACCTTAGATTGTACGCCCCTTGAGGGTTAGGGACCTTAGATTGTACGCCCCTTGAGGGTGAGGGACCTTAGATTGTACGCCCCTTGAGGGTGAGGGACCTTAGATTGTACACCCCTTGAGGGTTAGGGACCTTAGATTGTACGCCCCTTGAGGGTTAGGGACCTTAGATTGTACGCCCCTTGAGGGTTAGGGACCTTAGATTGTATGCCCCTTGAGGGTGAGGGACCTTAGATTGTACACCCCTTGAGGGTTAGGGACCTTAGATTGTATGCCCCTTGAGGGTTAGGGACCTTAGATTGTACACCCCTTGAGGGTTAGGGACCTTAGATTGTACACCCCTTGAGGGTTAGGGACCTTAGATTGTACACCCCTTGAGGGTGAGGGACCTTAGATTGTATGCCCCTTGAGGGTTAGGGACTGATGTGAATGTACAATATATATGTAAAGCTGCGTAAATCGATGGTGCTATATAAGTACCTGAAATAAATAAATCTTTAGGTTTGAGGAATGAATGAGATCATCCGAAATCGGTGAGCAGAATCTGATAGGGAGATGTCCAGCAGCAGTGCTAACATTCAACATCCTTTCCATCCTGTTGGCCAAATAAAGTGGGTGCATAGCCACGTTGGCACCACACATAGTGATGGGCTTGATGTTTGAGTTGAAGTTAAAGTTCCGCTCACCCTGTCAAAGAATAAAAGTCAGTATCTACAAAAACTGTAGCTGCTGACTTTTAAAAAAACAGCCACTTACCTCTCCCTCGGTCCCGCGGTGTGTCCCCCGTAGCCCGTTTTACCGGCCGTCCTGTATTCCATGCATCTTCAGTGTGGGCACCCGGCTGTGATAGCCTGGGGCTTCACAACCGGGTACACACTGCGCATGCGCGAGTATTGCTGCGCTTCATGAATGGCCATGTAGTCTTCTGGGACCTGTCATGTGTCCCAAAAGACTACAGGGAGGGAGGACACCTTCCGTTTCCAATAGCCTAGGCGATGAAATAGGAGCGGGTACCTGTCAA